TCTTCATTGTCCTCCCGTGTGTTTCCACCCCAATTTACAGAATCCCATTCTTTTCCAAGCTGTGTCCTCACTTTAACTGCAACCATGTTTTGAGGCTTTGCATCTTAATTCTGTCAATTTCAGGAGAAAGKTTTGTATCTGGTTTTCAGCAACCTCTTTCCTACAAGAGACAACTCAGAGACTACAAGAGAGAACATTCTCCTTCAGAGCACACTAAGAAGCTTTTAGGCTGGTCATGTGCATCTGGAACTGTTCCTTTTCCTTTGTTACTTTGTTGAGTGAAGCCAGAGCAATGATCCAAAATTGTTACATTCCTCCGTTTTCCAGAAATRTTCAAAAGTGTCATGTACAGAGTCACTAAACTCCTTGCCTCTTACAAGTATCGAATTAGGAGCACTGGATGCATTTAGTTGATGAATCTCYTTAAACAGTTTCCACATGGGTCATGGCCCTCCATGCTGCCAGCAGGAAAGAATTTAGGAACTTTMGGCCTAATTAACTTAGAGAGCCAACCCTAGAAACCACAAAACCAACTCAGGAAATTTATCCTTATAATTCTGTTTGCTAGAACCACCTCTGGCATTAAAATCTATATAAGTTAGGATTCTATAGAGAAACAGGACCAATAGGAGATTGTATGTATATATATATATATATATATATATATATATATTATATATATGTATATATATATATATAATATATGTGTATATATATATTTGATAACTAATAGAATATTCAAATTAGGCCACCATATTTCTTCTGTCTTCAGTTTAAGTTATTTTCTATTCTTAATATCTGGTCCCTCCACATCTTGTGTTTATTCTCAAACTCATTGTAGCATGGTAGACATTTGTAGTATTCCACTGTGTCCCACCTCATCTATCTTTCTGCTTTTTTTTCTCTGGCTTTTTTTCTCCAGTGTGTGAAAGCCTGCCCATTTGCGCAAGCACAGACTATAAGTTCAGAGGGATAAAAGATCTCTGGGGCAATTTTAAACCAATGGGAACTGTGTGATATTGGATAAATMGATACTCCACACCATCCTTCAGAGACACTTTGCATTTCTCTGTCTAATCTCCTTTYCCCCCTTCTCCATTCCTCTGTCTTCTGCCATTACACAGCAAATAAACAACATGCATTCAAATTTCTTTTTCTTCAAGGGACAACACAAATAAAAACACATTTTCTCCATAGGAGCTTAAGACTTTATACCTCATCCATCATTTCATTGAACTTTTAAAGAATCTACATAATAGCCAATGAGTACATTAGAAAATGTGTAAAGGCATTGGTATCATTGTGTGCAGATGATATATTTCCGTACATGAATTTCTACTTCATTATAATTTATATTTYAGTATAAAGTTCTACATTAATAATAACATATCATAAATTCCATGTTGATTGATATCAGCTAATCATTTTTCATAGCAAAATCCAGCATTCACATCACTGAGTAAGTTATGATTTGGAGTCACCACAGGGTGGCAGTGCCTGCAAACTTTTCTCTCGGGTGTAGCACGTGATAACATGCCTGGCCACTGTGTTATTCCTTTATCTGTCGTTAAGGCTATGTCTAGAAAATGAAGGCAGATTCACCCCTACCAAGTCTGTCTTTATGACCTTCATTTTTGCKTTTTGCCCACCCTACTAGGCTGCCTGGAGTCACCATGCCATGCACCCTAATGTTAAGCTTGCTTGCTCATAGGAGTCTGCAAATGTGGACAGTTGCCCTCCAACCAAACCAGACTCTTCTGCAGTATAACTGACTATACTCTTTCAGCACCTGTTCATCTTTGGCTTATCTCAGGGCTGTGGGCTGTGCTATGTTGTTGTTGGGAGTTGTACAATTAGTTGTGCAGACCTGTGAATGCACGGCTCAGGCAGCCAGGCAAGAGCTCACACAGATGAAAATCAAGAGCTACTAGGAAAAGTTATATAAATCAAAACTACTTCAAGCATTTTTCTCTTAGTGGAAATCCCTGTTTTGCTACTGAAGAGTTTTTAATGAAGGAGAGTTGGAAGGAGAGGTGGAAGGAGAATGCCCTCTGCCCTCACACAGCCCAGCCTTCTCACGCACGTCCCTCCYCTCTTTCCCCACACTTCACCCTTTTTCTTCCTACCATGGGAAGAGGTAACTGATTAGTCTCTTTGCTGCACAAACATGCACAAATTCTAAAATGYTTTAGAAACTCTGCCAATTGGCTACATGTCTGTAGAAAGGGAAGCCCTGTGTTAGGAAGGGCTATGTATYGGGGAAGCGTTGAGAATACTGAAAAAAAATGTCAATAATGAATATCTCTGGATAATAAAATAAAGGATTACTCATTTTTATCTTCATTCTCTATTTTATTATACAATGTTAACATATACTATGTTCAAAAACATTAAAAACTCTTCAGTAGCAAAACAGGGRTTTCCACTAAGAGCAAAATGCTTGAAGTAGTTTTGATTTATATAACTTTGCTTACATTTGCAACACAGGTTTTCTCTCTCTCCTCTCTTTTTTTAATGAAACATAAGCCAACTGGAGCAATGTMTCTAAAAGGGAGCCTGTGAAAGCCTTCCAAGAGGAGGGAGAAAAAAGAAGCTTGGCAGGACTGTGTTGGTGGAGATGTCACCAGGAGTGTTTGGCTTTTCTTTCCATCCTTTTATCTCTACACCAAACATCTGTATCTGAGTTGTGGTCTGATTTTTCAGACATGTCTTTGTTAGGCTTAGCAATGCTGTGAGTTACTTTTAATTTCAGTTTGTCTGCAGTAWTMTATTCGTGGAAAGGGCCAACTTAGTTTTGGTTTTCCTTTTCAGCTTATATAAAGGAGAGGCAGAAGTGGAAGAAGGCAGAAGACTGGAAAGGAGAGTTCGAGGAAGCTGAGGAGCTGTAGTTCAGTGGRGCAGGTATGTTGTTCCTCCTCCTCTCCTCCTCCTTCCCCTCCTCCTCCTCCCCCTCCTCCTCCTCTCCTCCTCCTCCTTTCCCTCCTCCTCCTCCCAACTCCCCCTCCTCCTCCTTCTTCCTCTTCTTTTTACATGCAGCTTAGTCTTACTTATGACTTGATTTCCAGTTCAAAGCGGCAATTGGAGGCCTGCCAGGAAGGGAGGGGTAGCCCATTGTTGAGCCTGCAGGGGTCTTTCCCTGGCTTTAGTTCTGGGGAAGCTCAGCTTCTCCCTTTGACCAGTAACAGCTTCGAGGTAACAACCAGACACACGGAAGCCCTTGGTCCCTGAATTCCCTGCATCTTCAACTCAAGGCAGAAGCTAGGGGAGTGGAAAGAGCCCTGGATGGGAGCCCATCTGCCATCTGCTGACCTCTTTCAGTTCCCTTCACAGTTCTGGAATATGCAGAAGGAGAGGCTCCCTGCCTAGGAACTTAAGGCAACTATAATCCAGAGACTTGTCTTTTTATCTTTCTCGTAGTCACACTTAAGATATCTTTAGAGTGAGAACTATTCCCATGTAGAAACAAATTTAGTTACTGTAGTGCTGATCTTTATTGTTCAAAGTAACTGTATAGGCAAGATGCTGTGTGTGTGTGTGTGTGTGTGTGTGTGTGTGTGTGAGTGTGATGTTTGTTTCTCACAGGGACATCAGAGTCAACTGTAGCACTTGTTAAGAATGTAGATGCATAAGAATCTACATTTTAATAATCCCTTAGGGTGAGTCTTGTGTACACTGAAGTTTGAAACCATTCCTCAACAGGACCAAAAGAATAATCATTAATTTGAATTTAAAATGCTYAGCAGTTCATTCATAGCTAACCAGAGACATTTCTAAAGTTGTCTGYAGTAACAGCCATATCATGCTAGACCTGTGACTGCAGAGAGGGGGCCCCCCCAATTCGAGGAATTATAACAATTCCAGAAATCATAACATTGATGCTGGGGGATTATATGTTCTTCACGTTGAAGAACCAGATAAGAGGAACAGCATGTTTGAACTTGATTAATGTTCTATTCCTGTGAATTAACAGTGTGCAGATTTTGTTGAGACATATGATCTAATGGACCGATTTGCTTAGTATGGTTATTATAACTTAATTTCCATTAATTCAAGAAACATTTACTGAATTCTGCACTGGATGCATGCTATTCTAAGATATAAACTTCTGCTGTTTCATTTAGTTGTCGGAACACCCTTCAGGTTGGACCTATAGTTTTACTCATATTAACTCTGTAATTACCCAACTTAGGCTTTGCTAGAGGAAACTCCTGGTTTAAGTGAACTCACGTGAATCTTAGAGCTATTTTTAAAAATTAGTTCATTTCAGTTATACATAATATTGAAGTTCTTTTTTAAAAAAATATTTATTTTTTGGTTGTAGGTGGACACAATACCTTTATTTTATTTTTATGTGATGCTGAGGATTGAATTCAATGCCTCAGGCATGCTAGGCAAGCRCTCTAMCACTGAGCCACAACCCTAGCCCTGGAGTTCTTTTTGACATAATTATACAAGCATGGAATAAACTTTGCTCCAATTCAGTTCCCATATTTATCCTTTGCCTCTCCTTCTCCCCACCCTCTTTACCCTACTGATCTTTCTTCTATTTATTTATGGGTTTAAAAAAACAGTGCTTTATGGATATATATATATATATATATATGAAGGAATATATATAATAAAAATTATATTAATATTTAATATATAAATTGTATAATATACAATAAAGATACAAAATTATTTACATATAAATAATTTATATACAGAAATTTATATGCATAAATTATTTAAACATATAAAAGTAAAATTCACTGTGGTATATTCATATATATACATAGGAAAGTTTGGTCAGATTAATTTCACTGTTCCTCCCTTTTCCTATTCCTCCTCCTTCTCCCTCAATCTCTTTCTTTTACTTCACTGAACTCTCTTCAATTTTTATGGTATTCCCCTATCTCTTTTTCTTTTCTTTTYCCTTATTTTCATCTAGTTTCTGCATATGAGAGAAAACATTCAATCTTTGACCTTCTAGGGCTGGTTAATATGACTGATTTATGTGATATTCTCCAGTTCCATCCATTTACCAGCAAATGCTATAAACTCATTCTTGTTTATGCTGGGATTACAGGCCTGAGCTACCACACCTGGCTCTATATTGTGGTTTGATTTGCATTTCCTTAATATTAAAGCAAGATTAAAGTGGAGATTTGGCCTGAAAAATTTCTGAGCAAACAAAGCCAACTAGATGTTAAAAATAATATTATCCTTGTGAAAGCTTCAAATCTAAACAAAACAAACTTGGGTCATTTGKGTAAATGCTTATGTAAAATGGAATGAAAACCTAACCTCAGTTACTCATAAGTAGCCAATTAACATATGATTATGTGACTAATACTTGTTACATGTTAACCCATAAAAGGCAAATTTGTAACTACCACTAATCAGTTATTCCTCATGCTTCTACATTTTTCTAATAAATACTTGATTCTGAGGCTTTGTTATCAGAACACAAACACTAAAACAAACAGTCTTCAATCTGGATATTTCCCCAAACACAAACTGATCTTATTCAAATGAACTCTAAACTTTTATTATATCTCCAAATTTCCTTTTACACTAGTTATTAGTGGAGTTGAGCCTGTCTCAATGTGCTTATGGTCACTTGTGTATCTTCTTTGGAAAAATGTCTATTTCAGTCATTTGCTCACTTTTAAATTGGGTTTTCTGTTCTTGTTGATGAGCTGTAGGAGGTCTTCGTAGAGTCTGGAGATTAATCCTTAATCAGACAAATGATTTGCAAATAKTTTTCACCCATTTTRTGTGAGTTTTCTTTTGCTCCATTGATAGCATCCTTTGTGCATAACAGTTTTCAATTTTAAAGAAGTATAGTTTATCTGTTTCTCATTTATTTCCTGTGCTTTGGTATCATATCCAAGAATTCATGGTTATCTGAAATCCAGGTTAGGAAAAAACAAACTAGAAAAGCAGGCCCCCCCCACCCCCAGTCAGGTTAGCCTATTGCTAATAAGATCTGCTCCTTTCCCTCCAGTTCAAAGTGTGGGGAGGATTCAGGATCAGACCTTCAGAATAAGACTGTGATGTCCTGGGAAGTGGCTAGGGAAAGGGCAAGCAAAGACATAGAATTTCCTTCTATTTTGAATGTGGCTTTGCACACTGTTTCTTTGAATGGTTTTCAGAATTCCTATAAGAATATTTTAGCTTTTTATTTTATTTTATTTTTTTTATTTTTACATCTTCATGGAAGGAACAAGAGCTTAAAGCTTCCTAGTCTGCCATTCTGCTCAATTGTCTAGGTTTTTAATCCTGTCTCTGTGACGTATTCACTCAACATTTGTGAAGCTTATTTATCTCATTTGCAAAGTGGGCTGAATAATCTCTAACTTGCAGGTACATAAATTATTTATTACAGTTTTTAGCATATTTTAGACCYTCAGTAACATTACATGGGTTTTATTATTACTTGTAGAAAAATTTCAGAGAAGATAACACCTTATGTTTCATCAAAAACATTAGAGATTTGGGAGAATGATGAAGGCAACCTTGTGGAGTCTGCTCTTGTTCAGTTATGTGTAGTCCCAAACAAAGTACAGATGGCTCATCAGTCCCAAGTTGATGGGTGGTTGGATAACTCTGAGACAGAGAATGACTTTGTAATCTTATTTCTACTTGGAGGCTGTTCCAGGTTAGCAGGTTGCTATGGCATCTGGACCGAAAATGTCAGCCCCCATTTGTCTGGTGGAAAATAACAATGAGCAGCTGATGGTGAACCAGCAGGCTATACAGATTCTTGAGAAGATTTCTCAGCCAGTCATAGTGGTGGCCATTGTTGGACTGTACCGTACGGGAAAATCCTACTTGATGAACCGTCTGGCAGGACAGAACTGTGGTGAGTGGTGTCCTGGGCAGGGCCAGTTGCTTGTCTCCAGCTGAATCTCATCTTCTTAGTGATGATCCTCACTCAAGGGAGGACCCAACTTTTCTCAGTAAAGGAACTTTCTCATTCTAATTCTCATGGCCAAATTACTACTTTACTGTAATCTTTCCCCATATTCTTTTCTTTATTCTGATTAAGGAAAATCTCTYCTACTGGTGTTCACAGTTGTATCTTTTCTAACATCCACATCTTTTCTAACACTTCCAGAAATGTTTCTTCTATCTTACATAAAATATTTTTTCCCTCTATGTAATATTTCATCAACATGTAAAGATCTTTGAATATTTGTCATCTTAAAAATMCTTCCTGGACTTCACTTCCTATTGCAACTACTCTTTTTCTGTTTTGATTTTTCTTTCACTTATTTTTCAATGCAAAAAATAGTATTCAACTTCCTTTTTGTCATTTTTGTTCTTATGTCTATCTTTAATCTGCAGATCTCTGAGCCTCACCATTTCTTTAAAATGCTTCCTACTAGTGACCTCCATTTTGTCTAGTTCATGAATGCCTCTTTGTCTTCATCTAGAACCCTCAAGTGGCATCATTCTCAGATTAATGACTGATCCTCTGCTCCTTAAAATAGGTGACTTGCAAAGTAAGGCATTCTTGAGGAAGWAGAGATTCCACCATCCTGGCTGTTGGGGTACACACAATCCAAGACCTCAGGCTCTGTGGGTTCTAGGCTGCTGAGGAGTTCTGCTCTCAGCATATTATTGTTCTCCCCTTCCCTTGCAGGCTTTCCTTTGGGCTCCACAGTGCAATCTGAAACCAAGGGCATCTGGATGTGGTGTGTGCCCCACCCCAACAAGCCAAACCACACCCTTGTCCTTCTGGACACTGAGGGCCTGGGCGATGTGGAAAAGGTGAGGGAGGCAGTCTCAGATCCTTTGTATGCTGAATTTTCTCCTTATTGCTTTATGACCCTTGACAATTTAATTGCTTTGATCTACCACCTGGAAACAGAACTATAGTGAATAAGGCAAACTGGTAGCCTAAATCTTACTTCCAGCTCAGATAAGATAGAGGTATGGTGAATAGAATGTTTTATTTCTTGATGGTTAGCAATACCACCCTTTATCACTGAGGAGTTCCGCTTCCTCAAATGTGGAAGTTTGAACATTATAGAAGCAGCTGAGGCAAGTATGGGAAGCAATTTTATTTTAAAAAATAGGAGAAGGGGGCCATAGCTGGTATCCTGGTATCCCAAGAAGTGACAGCATCTTGCCCCTTTTATACATTTTAGGTTTTCTTTGTTCTCATGACCTCTTCCCCCTTATCTCTCTCCTTCCTGCCCAAGAGATCTAGGTGGAATGGTAAAAAAGGTGAGAAGCAGGTGGGTTGGAATGGCCAAGGTGGAGTGATCTGGGCAGGAAGGGAATGGGCAGCCTGGGAGGCATTAATTAGCAGTTTCCTGCCTGCTCACTGGAAGCTTCCTTAACAACCTTCTGGGAGGGGCAGTACAGACCTATGATCTTGGTGCTCAAAGGGCTCTGGAGGCATTAACATTCCAATCTCCAGGGGCAGTCTCTAACTTCCTGGATCCAAATTGGCCTCCATTTTCTCAATCTGACCAAATCACTATCTACACTAACTACCTATCTTTAATTTTTGCTTCAGTAGGGTGAATGCTCTGATTCAATATAATAAAAATTTATTGAGCAGCTAAGTTCTAGTCTTCTGGGCTCAGTAGATAGGTATTACTGACAAAGTAAAGGTTCAGTCCTCAAAAAAACCTGCAGCCCCATTGAGGAGACCATACTTATGCCTGGGAAAGCTTGGGAAAGAAACAGATTGGAGAGAGGAAGATCCCATGCTGCAGTGTAGTGCCTGACCCCTGTCAGTTCCATGGGGAAATCTGTAGCTGGGTTGGCCCTTTGGAGGGATCCTGGGTTGAGACAAGGAAGTTGGGTCTTGATCCCYGGTGCTGATCAGTCCTTGGAGGTCTGCCCTRGAAGCCTTTGTCATTGAGTGCTGACCTCTGAGGGCTGTCATCCATTAGCACTTCCAATAGCTTGACAACGGATCCACACAGCACATCCCAAATTGATCAAATAGTTAAGTGTAAGGGGAGCTAGATAGGAGGGTGAAGAGGTATCAGCCTCATCCCTGTGGATGAGGAAAGCCTCCTGATCCACCTTTCAAACTTCAAACATTCTGGAAGTCTTTGAGAAATCTATGACGGCTGGTACTATCAAAGCATATTTCTGACTTATAATACACATTTTAAGATGGWTTTTTGATATTGTAGCTTTCTAACAATAGGTAAACTGAGTGATCTGTTCTTTTTTTTGACACGATACAYTTATTTTATTTATTTTTATGTAGTGYTGAGGATCAGACCCAGTGCCTCACACGTGTTAGGCAAGCACTCTACCACTGAGCTACAGTTCCAGCCTGTGATCTGTCTTTTTATGCTTTATTTTGAGACTTATTTGAGAAAAGTGTCTAAATTTATATACTCCCTTTTTTTCATAAGGATTTAGATATTCTGGGCTTACTTTTTATTAGCTTCTTTGAAATATAATTAACAAAATTGTATGCATTTAAGGTGCACAAGTTGATGTTTTTACTTTGTGAAATGATTAGTACAAACACATTAATACATGTATTAAYTTTTAGTTTTCTTTTTGCTTTTGTAGTGCTAACACTGAAGACATAGTTTCTTAGCAAAATTCAAGTATATGATACAGTGTTAATTAGAGTCACCATGCTATACCTTAGAACTCTAGAAATTATTTATTTTGCATAACTGAAACTCTGTACTTTTTAACCACTATCTCCCTGTTTCTCCCATCCCCCAGATTCCAGAACACACCATCCCATTCTCTGCTGATATGGATTTGACTATTGGACCATTTTACATTCCATACCTGAATGAGATAATATAGTATTTTTCTTTTTGTACCTGGCGTATTTCACTTAGCATAATGCCCTCAATTTTCATTCATGTTTTGCAAATGGCATGATTTCCTTTGTTCTTTTAGGTTTGAGTACTCATACTCCACACTTTCTTTACCCATTTATTCCTTGATAAACGTCTGTTCTTGGCCATTGTGAAATAATGCTGTAATAAATATGGAAGGGCAGGTATCTCTCTGAGATACTGCGATTACTTCCTTTGGCTCTTGAGAAGTGATATTGCTGGATTATATGGTACTTCTATATTTTTGAGGAATTTCCAGAATGTTTTCCATAATGGCTATACCAATTTACATTGCAATCAACAGCATTACAAGTGTTCTTTTTTATATATCCTCATCAACACATGTCATCTTTTGTTTTTTTGTTCAKAGCCATCCTAATTATTGTGATAAATCATTGTGATTTTGACTTTCATTTCCCTGATAATTAGTGAGGTTGAATATCTTTTCATGTACCCATTGGCAATTTGTATATTAAATTTTGAGAAATGTATTTTCAAGTCATTTTCTCATTTATTGAATTGCTTGACTTACTGTTGAGTTATATGAATTTCTTATATACTTTGAATATTAACCCCTTATCAGATATGATTTGCTAATATTTTTATCCCGTTCTGTAGTTTCCTTTTTACATGGCTGATTGTTTTTTTTTTTTTTTTTTTTTTGCTTCAAGAAGGTTTTTAGTTGGATTTTGCTTTTGTTGTCTGTACTTTTGGTGTCATTTCCACAAAAACCAAGGCTAGACTGTGAACGTCTAGAGCGTTCGGGTCCCTGGGTAAGGGTCTCGAAATAACCAGGACACAGGGGATGCAGAGCAAAGGCAGCAGTTGCAACTGCATGCTGAGGTTTATTTGAAAGTTMCTTTTATATTCTTCTTCTAACAAAGCAAGCAATTCTTCAATAACACTTTACCCACATTGCCCAAATATCATGCCTCAGCGGGTACACAGAGCTAAATTCAGATCGTTCCTGTTTATTTGATAAGTACCCTCTTACAGTTCTTTGTAGACATTATCTAATCCCCTGAGGATGCATTTGTTTCTTTAGAATGTACTGTTCCCAGGTCCAGTATGCAGGAAGCTTCTTCCTCTTGGCCAAACCATGCAGAACTTGTGACTTGCGATAAGGGGAAGAGAACTTTTCCTCCTCCTAACTGAGGTTTGCCTCAGCTGACCTAAATCAMAGCCACAGCTCTTGCAAAGTGTCAGGCCTGAGGGAGCTAAACTCTGCACACTCAAACCCTAACACTAGACCAATGTTAAAAAGCTTTTGCCTGTTTTCTTCTTGAAATTTCAGGACACATGGTCATTTTTTTTCCTACTATCTAACTGAAATTTTGTGTCCTTTGGCCAATATTTCTCTATAATCCTTTCCCGGGCTTTGGACCACCCTTTCAACAACCATTCCATTCTCTACTTGTATGGATGCAACTTCTCTAAGTTCCACATACAAGTGAGGTCAGGTGGTATTTGTCTTTTTGTGTCTCTCTTCATTTTACTTTAGCTTAAAGTCCTGCAGGTTCATATATGTTGTTGGAAATGACAAAATTTCCTTGCTTTTATGGATGTGTGGTGTTCTGGTGTGTGCATTTCCCACATTTTCTGCATCCATTTATCCATTGATGAACACTTGGTTTGATTCCATGCCTCAACTTCATTTCCTTTGGATAACACACAGTAGTACATCCACTTTCARTGCTTATATGCAAGTCTCAAATCTATTTTGAGTTCAATTTTAAACACTCTTCTGGCTATGAATATCCAGTTCTTCTGACATCACTTGTTAACAAAGCCATTCTGTCCCTATTGTGTGTTCTTGGCACTGTTGWCCAAGCTGAGTTGACTATTAAAGCATGAATTTATTTCTGGGTGCTCTTCTGTTCCATGGGTCTAGATGCCTGCTTTTACAACATTGCCATACTGCTTTGATCACTGTAGCTTTGTAACATTTTAAATCAGGATGTGTGATACCTTGACCTTTGTTCTTCTTGCTCAAGATTGGTTTGGTTATTCAGTATCCTTTGTAGTCCTGTATAGATTTTAGAATTTCTCTTTTTGTTTACTTAAGAATATCATTGTCATAGGCGGTTGAAAGCCATCTATCAAACAATGGTATGTGCTTATCTAAATGGGTTTTCGTTTGCCACAAGTTTTAGTTCTAAGAACATTGATTACTTTTTAATATTAGGGTTTTGGRGAATTAAGGAAATGAATAGGTTAATCTCCCCACCCTTAAATTGCTATATAGAATATTATAGGCCTGAATCTGATATTACCTTGCTCTCTAGGAACAAGCTTTATATACTCTTTATATTAGAAGTAATTTCTAGATTTAATTTAGACAAATACTACAATTTACAGAAACAAATTAGCCTGACCTTTCATGTCCTTCATCAACCTGTATTAGTGCTCACGATCCAGCATTGTTTCCTGCTCTTACTTGCTTCTCAGTCAAACAAAATAACTATTTTCACTGCAAAGACTCCTACAATCTCTAGTTTTGTTACTGTGGATCTTTCTACTTGTARGATCATCTTTATTTGTTCTGTCAACCTTCTGCCAACTCTTTAATGGTCAGCTCATGATCTCTAGGAACGCTTCATACATGTTTTTCTCCAACTTTCATAGCTCTATTCTTTCTTGATTGACATGTACTTCTTAATTTAATATAACAGCTATGGATTTCACTACTCATATAAATTACTAAGATCCAAATTTTTATAGATATTATTATCTGTGCTGTATTTATTATTGTGAATATCTTCATTGCTTTGAATTAGTCATCTCAAAGTAACTTGTCTTTGTGAAATTTGTTTTTCTGAATCTAAGATCAGGGGATCAGTAGCCATCTATGCCCAGCTATCCCTACTCTGATATTTATATGTTTTATAAGGTCTATGACCAATAAATATATAGAGAGAATAAGGAAATGCTAACATCAATGATTGAACGAATATCCTATTGAGAACCCAATAGAGTACAAGTTTATGTATGTATATTATCTTATTTCATCTCATTGAGAAAAATAAAGCTATGTGAAGATGAGAATCATCATATGAAGAAATTATGATTCTAAGAAACATTATAATTGTCAAAGCTGTTATTTGTTCAGGTCTTTCTTCATTGCATATGAATTCCTATTAGTAAACCCATAAACGAAAGACTGACAGAATAAAGTCTGAATGAATTTGTAAAACTTAACTCCTAAGTTCCTTGCTGTAATGTGCTTCCTAGGGTGACCCTAAGAATGACTCCTGGATCTTTGCCCTGGCCGTGCTTCTCAGCAGCACCTTTGTCTACAACAGCATGGGCACCATCRAYCARCMKGCCCTGGACCAGCTGTAGTATCCTTCCAGGAACTCAACCACCCTGTCATTGAGTTTAGGGGAATGAATATTGAGTCATTATCTTTTGCCCTGTCAATTAGTAGTTTCTGGTGAAGCAGTGAGCACCTATGGCAAAAGAGGCCGTTTATTAGAACTTTTTAATAGGAAAACATGGAAATGATGTTTTTTTTCCTCAGCCAAGACCTAGTTATGTGACAGAGCTGACAGAATTAATCAGGTCAAAGTCCTCCTTAGATCCTGATGAAATAGAAGATTGCACAGAGTTTGTGAGTTTCTTTCCAGACTTTGTCTGGACTGTCCGGGATTTCACCCTGCAGCTGAAGTTTAATGGTGAGGACATCACAGAAGACCAGTACCTGGAGAATGCCTTGAAGCTGATTAAAGGTACCAGAGTGTGGCTCAGGAATGGGKGGGATCACTGAAAACTGCCCATCATTTCTGGGCTTCCATTAGTATTTGAGACTGAACTGAGGTCTGCAGCAATGGTGAGTGGAGTATAGGTTGAAGAGCTCCAGGAACTGATGTTTACTTATGATATGTAAGGCCTAAAGTACAATGAAATTATTCAAAACCAAATTATTTTARACAATTTTTASTTTAGTTTCCTGATTACAATGGAGGCTAAAACTTTCTAGTGACCAGACACTTCTGTACCCTCTTTGGCATCTGTTTAGGAGAACAAATGGCCTCAAAATTGTTAGACATGAAATTATAATCAAATACATGAAAAAATATGYATTTCACAGAGATAATTCTTCTAATTTTAAAATACTAGTGTATTTATTTCATTCATATGAATACCTTTGTGATCCAGGTGTGGCATCTGTAATTCTTGGCACTCCGGAATACAGAGCAGCAGAATCTCAAGTTCAAGCTTAATGAGACCTGTCTCAAAATAAAAAAAAATAAAAAAGGCTGTGGATATAGCTCAGTGGTAGTGGCCCCTGCCTAGAGCAGCAGGATCTCAAGTTTGAGGCCAATTTGGGCAACTTAGGAAGATCCTATCTTAAAATGAAAACTAAAAAGGTTTGGGTACGTAACTCCCTGGAACGGCCCTGAGTTCACTTGCCAGTACTCCCTTTCCACTCTCATACCTTTGTGYTCTAAATAGGCCTGAAGAAGCATGTATCTTTTCTATTTATTCCTTTCCAATATTTATTATGATTATAAGAACACTCATTTTACTTGTATATGGTGGCTTTCTCTTAATTCCAACACATTTACTCATGGTATTATTTTAAAAAATTATATTAATTGGTTTACATATTGCTTATATGTAAATTATTTACATGGGTGCATACCTAAAGAAATCTTGTGAGAATACCAATTCTGATTTATTCTTTTGTGCTTTCATTTTTCTCTCTATGCTTTCTCAAAACATTAATTGAAAAATYGGTAGGCAGAAAAGCAAATAGTCAAATCAAATGTACACCTCTGTCTCAAATTTTAAAAATCACATTTTGTTTACTTTTGGTCTTTGGAAATGTTTGCTACAAATAGCTAACATTGTGTGAGAGTTATTTTAAAAAAACAAACTACATTGTTATATTACATCCCAATATTATGGGATATATACAGATAGTAAGGTGATTAGTAAAGTGAAGCTGATAATCCATCTATCATCTCACATAGTTAGTTGATTTGATTTAATAACAATCCCAAATATAGTAGTTTTGTTAACCATAGTCCTCATTAGATCCCTAAACTTCTGCTTCCTACATATCTGTTACTTTTATGTTTGACCTACATTTCCCATTTCCTCCCTACCCCTGGTAACAACTATTTCATTCTTTTTTTTCAAAATGAATTCTTTTTAGCACAAAAAAATGTTTTCCTTAATGAATTATGGTATCATTCTCAGTATTCCTAATGTTATTTCTGATATTGGTCCATTATCACTTATTTGTGTGTCTTCTTTCTGGTTCCACAGCTCAATTTTTGCAAGGGATTGAGTGGACCAGAGAACATATAATAAGTAACAACTCTATACTGGTACCATGTTCAGGTCTGGGGATAACAGTCTAGATATTTTTTTTCTGCTAGGATCTAAATCTCTTGTCAGAGTTACATCATTGGCACAAGTTTGGTGTGCAAAGAAGTATTGAATGTTAATGTTAAAACAATTCTTT